GAGGTTTCAACTTCTCACAAGACTTTCTCTCTTGATGGCGATTAAGGGGATTATACGACTCCAACAAGGCTTCCTCCTCGTGCATGTCTTCATCCTCCTTTTTCTAAGTTCTCTCTCCCATGCGCTTTCCTCCCCTCTTCTAAATGTTTGCTCTGAGATTTAATTTGTTGATCTAGCAAATTAAAAAGTACTTATCCCTTTGCATTTACTTTTACATCTTTTGGTTTTAGAAGGAGACTCTCCCTTCATGGCATGTCAGGTTTCTTCTTGCTCGGGACGTCCCAATGTTCTCCTTGATCCTCCCCAGGACAGACTGACCTGGCTCTGAGCTCCCCCTGCAGCCCAGAGCTGCCGTTTGTGGGCACTAACTTGACGAGTTTCCATCTCCTGATTTGAGATTTTAAAAATCCTTTGCTAACAGGTCAAACCTCATTCACTGCAGTCCTCCTCCTGAGCTCTGAGCAGCACATTAGCGTCCGGCTGGTACACAGGGCCGCTGGGCAGGGGGTCTCATGTTCCAGCCGAGCTCTGGGCTTCACTGAGCTTCCGTCTTTGCCTTTGGCAGCTTCCGGGCACCTGGGGACTCATGGCAGCCCCGCTAGCCCTTGCCTGCGTCACCTGCAGGGACCTAGGATCCGAGAAGTGATGGATCGCCCAGCTTCCACGATTTGCAGCCTTAACAATTCAGGAAAGCCAATCTGTCCTTCAAAAAGGGAAACACTGCAGGACCGCGGAGCATTGGTTCCCATGGCAACGGCATGGGTCAATCGCACCGTCACCCCTTCCGCAGCCGTGATTGCACCTGCAACTACCATCTCCTGGCTTTCTTTTGTGTGAGCCTCTCTCCTTAGCTCAATTGCCATCTCTGCTGGGAGAATCTCAAGCTGCGAAACGACAGGAGCTGAATTTAAAGTAAAAGCTGCGGAAACCTTAATAAGACACCGCAGCCAGGCCGGCGTGGCTCAGTGGTTGAGCATCAACCTATGAGCCAGGAGGCCAGGGTTCAATTCCAGGTCAGGGCACATGCCTGGGTTGTGGGCTCGGTCCCCAGTAGGGGGCTTGCAGGAGGCAGCCGGTCTATGATTCTCTCTCATCATTGTTGCTTCCATCTCTCTCTCCCTCTCCCTTCCTCTGGGAAATCAATATATATATAATTTTAGACACCACAGAGCTCTGCTTATTTGGAAACTCAGACACATGCTCGCTGAAATCCAGGCCTGCATCTTGAACCTCAGACCCTCTCTTCCCACCTCCTGTCCCAGCTCAGAAATTCGTGACTTGCGATTCCCAGTGGTTTTGGAAAAGTCCATGCCATTCTGCCGTCCAAGGCCATGTACATCGTGGACAGACACCAGCTTTATTAGGGCAAAGCCCACACCCTCCAGCTGTGGCAGACGCCCTGTGCTGTGTATGTTCCCCCACGTCCCGTGTGGTTCAGGGTTCAGGATCTGGAAGAGGGGCCGCATGCAAATGAAAGAGACGAGACAAGAAATAATAATTTGGAAATATTGGGGGCCAGGCTGGCAAGCCCAACTCAAGGGGAAGGACTTCCACTGGTGCCCAGGCCTCGCCAGCCTTTTATTCAATATCGGATACACATCTAGCTCTTAGTCAGGCAGGCAATTGCGGCAACAGACAATCCTAAAGGTCAGTAAATATTAGAAGGATTCACTCTGAGACTATTTGGTCAGGAAATAGCTTAAGCCCCCATTGTCTGGACTGGATAATTGGTGCATAGCTCTGGCCTTGCCATGGGTTCAAGGTCCACCAGCGTCCCGGGCTCCTTGTTGGCACTTCTCTGGTAGTGAAGACAATGGGCGGCCTCCTGCACTGTGCCATGGGCCTTGGCTCACGGGACTCCCTGCCTCTTGCTTTTCTCATCTGCACTCTTCAGGTAAGTGGCGTGTAGCTCTGTCAGGTTCTTGAACACACCCTGTACTCTGGGCCCCACATTGGCTGTCCCTCTTTCTGGAACACTGTTCCCTCAGCCTCGGCCTGTCTGGCAGGCATCTTGTGACAGGGGAGCTGAATGGGATGAGCTCACTAGCTGGGCGTCTGGGAGAAGAGCATCCGGCTGAGAGGCTGCCATGTCCCCATGTTCAGGCAGGTGGGAGACCTGGCAGGAAGGTCAGGGTCCAATACCCTCCCTGACAAGGGCATGCAGTTTCCACATGGTTCCTAGTAGCCAGTTAGTCTCTGCATTCAACCCGGTTATAAATGCACTTCTTTTTACAGCTAACCTTACTAGCAGTTATGGGGGGTGGAGAAAACAATGGAAATTGTATTCAGTATCTCTTTTTCTGCACATACTCCATTCTTATCTTTCCCATTTCCTATTCTCTCTTTTCTCCTTCTCTCATTTTCAACCCTTGTCACGTCTCCTCCTCCCTCTTCTTCCCAGCACCCTTCACATTTCTGTCTCCTATCTGCATCCTTTATTATAATATTTCTCTGTCTTCTTAAAGTCTCAAGAATAAAACTGTCCCTGTGAGATAAAGATAAGAAAGTCTGTCTGCATCTATTGAAAATAGCAGTTTGGATTTGTGTTGTGTTACTAGCGAAAGTGACCACATTACCGCGAATATGAGGAAGGATGTGGGGGGGGGGCGGGCAGGAGACAGCGAGTGTGGCTTGTCATGTATGCACACAAGCGCGGGCTCGTCTGGCCTGGGACACAGATCTGGGCTCTGAGACCACAGCCAACAACGACGGGCACCTGCTCTCAGCTTGTGACCTGAAATACCCCCTCCTCTCTGCCTTATACTTCAGTGCAGAGGTAATGACAACAGACCACCCTATCATGATCTGATGGTGGACGGGTTCTGCCTAAACCACAAAAACCTGCATGACAGCCTCCCCTCCTCCCCCATCTCACACACACACACACACACACACACATCCCGGGACTCTCAGCCTGCTGCCTGCCTGGATCCCTGTCGTCCCAGCGGATCCCGGCCCCTCCCAAGCACAGGCTATTCCCCTGTCACAGGTGCTGGGGAGGCAGGGGAGTGGTTACTTTAGCAAAAGGCATCCTCCTGAGCCTTGAACACGGCCACGTGCTCCAGTCCAGAGAGCGCTGTAACCTTTCTTCTCGAGAAGGGAAAGGAGCCATTTCTAACCTTTATGCGTTTTCATCGCGGATTCCCATCTGGCCCCTTGCCAGTCACTCCTCAGCCGTGTCTCCATTCAAAATGTAAATGTTATCATGTCCCTGCTCTGCTGGCCTCTGAGCCACACACCAGCCCTACAAGCAGCTGCGTCTCCGGGTCCTCCTGCACCCCCACCAGGTGTCACCACAGGCCCCACTACGCTCCAGCTACAGAGCTGTCTTAGGCTCCCAGAGCACCCCAATCTTTCATGCCTCAGGTCCACTCCCCAAGCTGGCCCCATCCTGCCCACCACATTTACACGAATAACTCCTTTCTTCCTCGTCTCAGCTCAAGTCTGTCCTCAGAGAGGCCTCCTTTGACCGTCCCATTAAACCCAAACCTTCTTCCTGTCCCAACTCCATGGCTCTCAAAAGCAGACACAGAACACTTTTTTTTTTTCTTTAAAACACCTGCTATACATTTTCTTTGTACCATTTGGGGTCCACTTTGGAGAAAAAACAACATACCAGGTTGTTTTAACAGGGAGAATTGAATACAGAAAATTGGCCAAAAAGGAACTGAAGGATGGAAAAGTGGGAAATTAGAGAAGGGGGTAGGCTTGGCAGGAAGCAGCCTGAGCAGAGGGCCGGGGACCATCAGGACCAGAAGGGGGCGGCTGCAGGGCCGTCCAGAGCTGGGAGGGCCCTGTCCTTGGGGAGCTGGGAGGGGCTCTGGAGAGTGGCTTTCAGCCCAGCGGGTGGGAGGGTGCTGCTTGGCAGGTGCTGATGTTACTGATGGACAGGTGGAGGAACTGGTGGTGGGAGGCTGGAAGGAACTAGAATCTGCAAGCAGCAGTGATGCTGGGTCAGTCATAGGACGGCAGGACACAGAACAGTCCCCCCAGGTCTCCCTCGCCCCCCACAGTCAGAACCCAATGCGGGCCCACCTGTCGGAGGAACAGCGCCGGCACCAGGCGGGTGCGATGAGGGGTCGGCTCACTAGCCAGCACAGCTGCTCGTCTTCATTGCATGTTCTTTCCTACCAGACTGTTGGGTCGGGACCCATGCCTTTCCTGTGACTACTCACCCGCTCCCCACCAAGGGCCCAGCACAGTGAGAAGTGGACAGAGGCACTCAGTACATATTCCTTGGACGGACACATTCGTTTTTTAAAAAAACAAAAAACCTACAACTGCTTAGCAGAATGTAGGTTCATTCTTGTCCACTGAACAGTAATGATCCAGACTCTGTGAGCGTGAGGCCCTTCGCATTAGCGAGGAGTTGAAGACATGCTCAAGGTCACATGTAAAGCCAACGGCCACAGCACAGGCGCAGGTTTAACTGCCCAGGGAGCAGGCAGCAGAATCCGGAGGTCGGGCAGGAGGAGGACAATGTCCTGGGCTGACAGGCCCTGGGAGGCTCTGACCAGAGGCAGGTGAGGGCGACCAGGAGAGCGGGGACGGGGGCGCCGGGGGTAGCCGTCCCAGGTGCTGGTATCGAGCGCGGAGAAGTCGCTGGGGAAGCAAATGGAAACCACCTGCGGGCAGCCATGACTCCGCAGCCGGCAGTGTATCCGGTCTTTTGCAAAACGTTACAGGCAAAGGAGTGAGGTGGCCCTTGAAGATGTTTTCTGGGGAGAAATGGGCAGCCTGGGGAACTGAGGGCGCAGCAACCACAGGACTATTCACCTGAGCAGAGAACCTGGGGAGCGCGGATGAAGGCAGAGGGAACAGGTGACCTGAGGGGAGGATCGGTGCACCGCGCGCAGGAGTCAGGACCCGCGGGCGGAGGGGGCGGGCGGGAGGGGCAGGGGGAGAAGGGGGAAAGGGAAGGGGGAGAAGGGGGGACAGATGCAGGAGGAAGGGGAGAGGGGAAGGGGGGCGGACGCACGCGGGGAGGGGTGGGAGCTGAGACTCCTCCCAGGGGCGCCCGTGAAGACTCGGGCCGGCATCCGAGTGACGGCGGCGCCGCCCTCCGCTCAGTACGCGTCCGGGAGGATGTAGATGTCCTCGTCCTGCGGCGCCGCGGGGGCCCCGGGCGCGTGGAGGTTGTAATAGTCGCCCGCCGGCTGGTTCCCGTAGACGTGCTCCTCGCAGGCGCCGCCCCCCGCGTTCTCGTACAGCCCGCGGGCGTGCGCGGCGCCGGGGCCCCGGGCGGGCAGGTTCTCGTAGTGGCCCTGCGGGTCCTGGGGGTCCGCCGCCCCGGCTCGGGGGCCGGGGGCCGCGGCCTTGGCGCCGAGGCCGGAGGGGCCCGCGGAGAGCGTCTGGGAATAGTCCCCCCGCCGGCGCCGCGGCCGCAGGAACCCCGGGAGGGCGAGGGGCGCGCGGCCCCGGTGCTTCCAGCGCCAGACGCACCCGACGCCGCCGGCGAGCGCCAGCAGCAGCAGCGACAGCCCCACGGCCAGGGCCACGGCCCCGCCGCCGCCACAGCCCCGCAGCATCTGGGCGCAGGCGGTGCCGTTCGGGGGGACGCGGAGGCCCCCGAGGAACTCACAGGCGCAGCCCGCGGTGAGGGCGCGGCGGGTGTGGTTCCGGTTCTGGTTCTGGACCGGGAGCTCCTCCGGGCATCGCCCTCTCAGCCCCGAGAGGACGGGGCCGGGCAGAGTCTCGATGCAGGTGGCGGCGAGGAGGAGGAGGCGCGGCCGGGGGACTCGGTTCTCTTCGTTGCTGAGGTTCCCCGCCTCGTGCCTGGCGACCAGCAGCTGCGCGGAGTCGGGGGGCGCTCGGCTCCACGGTCCGTCCTGCGCGGAGTCGGGGGGCGCGGCGGGCGAGCAGGGCGGGCAGCAGCAGAACAGGAAACCCAGGGACAGGAAGGCGGGACGGCCTGCCATCCAGACCTGCTGCGAGTGGGAGCGCGTCAGTGCCGTCTGTTCCGTCCGAACGAACCTGCAATTCCCACCCCCACGACGGCGGCTCGGCCTGCTCAGCGCACGGCCACCTCCAGCTGCGGAGGGTCAGCCGCTCCCGGCACCGCCCCTGCCCCGAGTCAGGGAGGGTGGAGGGCCCTGCGGTGCCGCGACCACGCCCTCCTCCCCGGGCGCCCTCCTCCCCGAGCGCCCACATCCACGCAGCGGGACAGCCTCCTCCACGGGGAACTGAAACTGTCTTCCCACCTGGTGACTGGTGGGCAGAGCTCAGGCCTGTGCATCTTTACAGTCTAGAGAGGAGCAAAACCTGGCGCAGAGGAGGCCTCACTGTTTACTGAATGAACGATGAAATACACAACTGGCTCCAAATCTTAGCATCAAATGGCTTCAACTGACACTTTAAAACTTGAGATATGGCCCAGCTGGCGTGGCTCAGCTGGCTGGTGGTGTCCGCCGGTTCAATGCTTCAATGGCACATCCCCAGGTTGCGGGCTCCAACCCCAGCAGGGGGAGCGCAGGAGGCAGCCAATGGTTGTTCCGGTCTCAGGTCAATGTTTCTATCTCTTTCTCTCCCTTCTTCTATCTAAAAATCAATAATAACAATAAAAAACCTTTAAAAATATACCTCAAGATATGTCTTCTACAGGAGGGTATAGTTTATGCTTAAGAGAAGAACTCTGTGCGTTGGCCTGTGGACTGAAGGGGCCCAGGTTCGATTCCAGTCAAGGGCATGTACCTTGGTTGCAGGCACATCCCCAGTGGGGAGTGTGCAGGAGGCAGCTGATCGATGTTTCTCTCTCATCGATGTTTCTAAGTCTCTATCCCTCTCCCTTCCTCTCTGTAAAAATCAATAAAATATATTTTAAAGAGAAGAGCTCTGTGACATAAAACAAATTATCTTTCAAAGCCTTCCTAGCACCATTCTCAAAACTTCCAGCCAACAACTTCCATTCAATTAAGATAATGTTAGCGTGTGTTCTTCAATGTTTTAAAATTGCAAAGAGAGAAACAGAAAGGACTGTACTGAATGTTCTATTTTGATTTTATCAACAAAATACTACTGTGTGTTCTCCAACTACACAGAGAAATAGTTACATCCAGTAGTTTTTTGTTTTATTGATATAATTGACATAATATTGGATATGTTTAAGATGTGCAACATGATTTGACAGATGTGTATATTGTGAAATGATTGCTACATTAAGTTTAGTTTACATTCAGCACCTCCCATAGTTACAATTTTTTTCTTGTGATGAGAAATTTTAAGATCTATTCTCTTAGCCAATTTCAAATATGCAATATTGTTAACAATACAGTCATCCAGTATTGTTCATTTTGCTTGTGAAAGGATTACCATCTTTAATTAATTAATCTTTAGTGAAGAGTTTACGTTGGGTCACCTTCTAACACCTTTCCCTGGATTTCTATCTCCTTCAACCCTATGGCTGCCACATGAAGCAGACATTACTGTAATCTCCACATGACAAATGAGAAAGGACAACATTAAAGTAGTTAGGTAAGTTCTTTAACAACCAAGGAGCTACTGAATCACGATTCAGGTAAAACTTCCCCCCCAACATTATTCTTACCCAGATTCCCGTACACAGCTGTGAAGCACAGCTGTCACTGTGAAGGGCTGGGTGACCTGGGTCTCCAGGGCCGGGAGCTTATCTAACTCACCTGTTACCAGCACGGCACTGGACACGGCACAGCCAGCTTATTAAATATTGGTTAACGAATGAGCAGCCTGCCTTAGGTAACATAATAACCATAAACAGGAACAAGGAAGCCCACAACTTGGGCCCAGCTTTCTGTGACTAGTCAAGCCCAATAGTGAGCCCGTCCAAGCTATTCGTGGTCAGAACACATCAGGTGGCATGCCACACTGGGTAGGAGATGCAGCTCATTTATAAAATGTGGCTGCAACAACCACAGGGACAGGTGGCCCCGGCCGAGACATGCTTGAACCTCCGGCACTTTGTGGGTCCCTCCTCCTCAAACTGGACTCCAAGGACAAAGGTTTGGCAAATGACTCACCACGGGGGACACATTTCCCTTCTGAAACAGATGAGAGCTGATCATGTTATGTTTTACAGCATAAGTACTTACTAAGCAATTCTTTGCTAGCATAGGTGAGCTGAATTTTAGACATTGATTGAGATGTATCCGCTCTTTAGAAGGCGCCAGGCCTGCACCCACTGGGGATGACTCTTGTCGCTGCAGAGGGTCACGAGTTACCCCTCAGTTCCCAAGAGGAGGCTGTGTTTGACCATCGATGCTGCTCTGAGCAGAACAGATATTGCAGGACACCCCAATGTTAGAACTGCTTGTCAGAGACGTGTCACTCAGACAAGAGAGGACTTTCTACAAGAAAATAAATGCGCCCTTTCTTTTCTTTAAAGCAATGGTTCTCAACCTTCCTAATGCCGCGACCCTTTAATACAGTTCCTCATGTTGTGGTGACCCCCAACCATAAAATTATTTTCGTTGCTACTTCATAACTGTAATGTTGCTACTGTTATGAATCGCAATGTAAATATCTGATATGCAGGATGTATTTAGGCGACCCCCGTGAAAGGGTCGTTCGATCCCCAAAGGGGTCGCGACCCACAGGTTGAGAACCACTGCTTTAAAGTAAGTTAACAGGAAAAACCCGCAATACATACACAAGGGCCTGGTCAAATGAAAACACGTTCAACAGAAGCCTTCCAAATAGTCTCACCCTAAATAAGCTTCTCTTTGCCCAGTCTGGAAGAAGACTTTTTGGGTTTTTTTGGGAAAATAGTTCCAACAGGTTACCCAACAATTCTTCATTTGTCTTAAAATCACAACTTGTTGATAAACTTCTGGATTTTCAAAGTCAGACCCTGCCCTTCTGTTTGGAAACAAAGCAACAGCCAAGCAAACCTCACACTTGTGAGCAGACACACCTGCAAAGAACCAGCAACACACCCACCCCACCCAAGGCCGCCACCGACACGGCCTGGTGAGGTAAACAGTCACCAGCTATTAAACTGCACTCGGCTCTCAGCTCTCACCAGCACAGGCGGTTCGCTTACCTCGATGGCACGCCTGGCGCTCCACTGCCCTCCGGGTCCGTTTTAAACCTGCTCTGGCGGAGCCTGTTCCTCTTTGCACTTGGCCGGCACTTCCTCCTCACCCTCCTTTCCGATGATTTCGTGCTTGCAGAGCTTCCTGGCTCGGGGGAAGTTCCTGTCAGATGCCCAGGTGTCTGATCAGGGAAGGCCCAGCCTTCATCTTATCACATCATCTCCCACTTCATCAAAACGATGCACAAAGCCTCGATGGTCTCTTATTGGAGCAATATTTGCAGTCCTCACTTTAGAATCCATCCAATTCATTTCACTGACACTTCAGTTTATAAAAAGAAAATTTTTTAAACACAGTATCGCAGAGGTCTTGGTTATTTACTTGTTTCCGCCCCAATGGCTGGGACACTTCTCATTGTGCACAGTATGTCCCAGTGCCCAGGAGCCTCCACACTGTGCCCCGATGCCCAGGAGCCTCCACACTGTGCCCCGATGCCCAGGTGCCTCCACACTGTGTCCCGATGCCCAGGTGCCTCCACACTGTGTCCCGATGCCCAGGTGCCTCCACACTGTGTCCCGATGCCCAGGTGCCTCCACACTGTGTCCCGATGCCCAGGTGCCTCCACACTGTGTCCCGATGCCCAGGAGCCTCCACACTGTGCCCCGATGCCCAGATGCCTCCACACTGTGCCCCGATGCCCAGGAGCCTCCACACTGTGCCCCGATGCCCAGGTGCCTCCACACTGTGTCCCGATGCCCAGGTGCCTCCACACTGTGTCCCGATGCCCAGGAGCCTCCACACTGTGTCCCGATGCCCAGGAGCCTCCACACTGGCCCCGATGCCCAGATGCCTCCACACTGTGTCCCGATGCCCAGGAGCCTCCACACTGTGTCCCGATGCCCAGGTGCCTCCACACTGTGTCCCGATGCCCAGATGCCTCCACACTGTGTCCCGATGCCCAGGTGCCTCCACACTGTGTCCCGATGCCCAGGTGCCTCCACACTGTGTCCCGATGCCCAGGTGCCTCCACACTGTGTCCCGATGCCCAGGAGCCTCCACACTGTGTCCCGATGCCCAGATGCCTCCACACTGTGTCCCGATGCCCAGGAGCCTCCACACTGTGCCCCGATGCCCAGGTGCATCACACTGTGTCCCGATGCCCAGGTGCATCACACTGTGTCCCGATGCCCAGGTGCCTCCACACTGTGTCCCGATGCCCAGGAGCCTCCACACTGGACCCCGTGCCCAGGTGCATCACACTGTGTCCCGATGCCCAGGTGCCTCCACACTGTGTCCCGATGCCCAGGAGCCTCCACATTGTGCCCCGATGCCCAGGAGCCTCCACACTGGACCCCGATGCCCAGGAGCCTCCACACTGTGTCCCGATGCCCAGGTGCCTCCACACCGTGTCCCGATGCCCAGGTGCATCACACTGTGTCCCGATGCCCAGGTGCCTCCACACTGTGTCCCGATGCCCAGGAGCCTCCACACTGGACCCCGATGCCCAGGTGCATCACACTGTGTCCCGATGCCCAGGAGCCTCCACACTGGACCCCGATGCCCAGGTGCATCACACTGTGTCTGCAGGATCTCCAAGACCCGTTCCCTGGAGCACTAAATGGAAAGTGCTGAGGTGGGCAGAGGAGAGGATGGGGATGGGTTCTGCCTGTCACACGCACTGGTGACTCCTCAGCTGCAGGGTGAACAAGAGGGATCAGAAGACCGACATCCTGAGGTGCAGAGTGGGCAGCAAGAGGAAGGCACGCCCTGCAGCCTCCCACTGACCATGTCAGACCAGGAGCCAAGGCTCAGAGCACACCACGCACAGGGCTGTGGGAGCAGAGGCCCCTCAGGGTGTCCTGCAGAGCACGGGCTGGTGAGGGTCAGTAGGGGCTCCTCGCAGGTCCCAGCGTGACTGCACCTCAGCCGTCCTCCAAACGGGGACACAGGTGTATGCACAATCGCACACGCTCTCTGCAGGTGAGGATGGCGGCACATGCACCCAAGCTTCCCTTTAAAACTGGGAGTTACTAAGCCCTTACACTCCAGGTTTCCTACAGATGAACAGGTGCAGGGACACTGCCTGGCTCCTCGCTCCAGATAGGAATTTTTTAAAGTAATAGAATCATTCTCTGAGGTGTTAGAAGGAACGCTATGTATATTCAAAACAGAATGACTGTATAATTGTCTTGTAGTGTCAGGTCCGGCCTGAGTTCCGTGTTTCCTCTTTCCCCTATCTTTGGCCGGGACACACATTTTCATTGTCACTGTCTGTCACGGGACCAAGCCTGGGTTCCTTCACCGGTTTGGGTGGTTTCGGTAGCTCGGGGCCTGGAGGTGACTCTCTGTCCTGCAGTAATTGGGTCTGGATAGTTTGTATCAAATAAACGCCCCTCTCCTAGTCACTGATTAACAACCACTTTATCTAATTGAAACTTAGATTCCCAGTAATTTCTTTTGTGTCAATTAATATATTTATTTTAACCATGTTTTTGTTTTTACTTTTTTCAGATACGTGGACGAGCACTGTGGTGGTGAGCGTGGACATGTTTGTTCCGTGGGCTCTGTCTGGACGCTGCTGGATTACAGCGCCTGCCTGCTTGCTCGGCGAGGAGGCCGCACTGCACCCAGGCGTCAGGAGCCGCAGGGGACAGGCCCCGTGGCATAAGGCAGGGTGTTCCCTGGGAAAGGTGGAATGCACATTAGCCTAGAGGTTCGTTAACATTGATTGGTTTACGGGATTAACCAAAAGCTTTAATGGAATGAGTCGCTGCCTCCCAACCATGCGGGGCAAGGAGTTAAGGAAACATGTAAAGTGCGGGAAGGGAGCAGCTGAAGACGGAGAGAAGGCGGGTGAACAAGAAGTCACTTCTGTTCACAGGGGCCCGTCCTGTTGGCAGCTGGCAAACTGAATCCCACAATGTTGGGTCTCAGATATGATGTAGCCAAGGGGCTCATTCCCAAACCTGAAAGTCTATCAAAACCACGTAGGAAGGTTTTTTTCTTTAAATACAAATTCCTAGGACCCTGGGGATCGTGCTTCATGAAGTCTGGAGTGGGGCCGAGGGATCTTTTAATTTAGCATTAAACACCCCCAAGGCCTTCTCGGAGTGACGGACGGGGGTAGAGGGTTACTTTTCATTTTACACTCTTTCATACGATTTGACTTTTTCCATTAATATGCACCCCTTTTAACACAAAACAAACACGGAAACGTCCCAGATGCTGCTGGTTTGTGGCCGGGTTAGAAACAAATGGAGTTCTGTGAGGTTCGCTTTGGGGCCAAGGAAGAGAGGGGAGCAGGCTGTGTCGGATCCGCCTCCCCGTCCGTCAGGTGCCTGAATGTCCGATTCCCTTTACTCCCCCCGGCCGCCTCCCCACCTTTACTAAGACCCAGCCACCTCCCAAACACTGGGGTGGTGACAGGTGTGTCTACAGGCAGCCATGCTCCAGGCTGCCTGTGAGACTCCTGTGCTATAATTAATGGTATCGTAATTTAAAAAAGAAAAAAGACAGACAGTTATTTTAAAAGTCACGAAAAGTTGAGGCCATCAGCTAGGATATGCTTTTGATTCTTTCGGATTACCATCTTCTCTGTAAACCATCGACTGGTTCGAGTAGAGGAGTCCTCGGTGACACGGGAGGGAGACTGAGCGGGCGCGTGGAGCTTCTCTGGAGCCTCCAAGCCTGGGGCTGGTGAGGCTGGTGGAAGAGGCCTCGGGACTGAATTTTGAGGGCCACCTGTCACAGCAGGGGTTTCTGCTTTCTAAGACTAAAGTTCCGTTTGCCCTGAAACCAGGTACAAAGCAATCGTACCCAAGGAAACAGTTCTGGCCTCTTGGGCAAGTGACAGCGTGCAGGAGGCTGCACCGGGGGAGCCCCGAGTCCTTCGATGCTACCAGGGCCGAGCGGCTGTCAGTCAGGGAGGGTGTTCAAAAAAAAGCGGTTTTCGTGTTTAGCATCCACTTCCTTTTAGCGCAACTACCTCTTTTCATCACAAGTCTTTCCTCATTGCAACGCAGACCAGATAACAAGCCTGGACACTTGCTTCAGCGTTAACCTCACTCTCTCCCCCCATTCCTTCCCCGTTATCCCTTCAGAACAGAAAATAAGGGACATTGGGAAGCTGAGTAATTACTCAGCATGGAAACATTTTACTTCTTCATGAATACAACTGACAGCTGCATAATTAGCGTCCCCATAGCAGAAAGTCTTAGGCTGTGAACACAATTTCACAAGTCAGAGAGCTGATAAATTATGTCAGCAGGTCTTGCTGTTGTTCATTGGAGGAGGAGCGTCCTTCAAACTAGGATTAATAAGACATCCACTTGGACAACGTTTGCTCTGCCAACTTCCTCAGTAACTGCTGAGAGGTGCGCTGGGGACTAGGCCTCAGTAACTGACACCTTCACCCAGGACCAGAGATGGCCGGTGCCATTACCATTTCAAACCGGGGAAGCTCGGATCCGGTGGAGAGTGGATGAGGCCTCAGGGAGAAGCTGGCTGCAATCTTCTCTGGCGCTGGAAGCTGGTGGGGACCTCTCTCCTGAGGAGCTTTGAGGACTCGTGCTTGCGTTCCAGGCCACAAGCATTTTCAAAAGATTCCTGAGGGTCTAATTGAACATTCGTAGTTTCAAAGGTCGCCAGCGAGCCAATCCTGATCTCGGGGTTTTCTGAGCTAGCACCCCTCTCTGCTGTCTGATCTTGAGCAAACCAGTTCTGTTCCGTGTAAAAGGGAACTGGGGAGTGCTGCAAGACAAAGAAATAGCCTGCAAAGTACTCCCAGTTCACCTACCAGACCACCCCACCCTCGTCCACACACTGTGCCTCGAGCTGGCAGGGATGGTTTCAAATACACACCGGACCCCATTCGCCCTCTGCTCTGCGTAAGATCCGTGACTCCCTCGCATCGAATTTAATTCCAACCCAAACTCAGTGGAACGGCTTTCAGATGGGGCCCCACCCTTTGCGGCCACCCCCTCGGCCTCCTCCCTAATCCCTCCTGGCTTGTCCCGCCTTTAGAGAGAACTCCTCACTCCCTCTGACTCGACATTATACCCCCGGGGTGTTCCCATGCCTGGTCAGTCATTCAGCCTTCCTCCTCAGTGTCCCCCCTCAGGGAGGCTTTCTATGCCCCCGGACACACTGCCAGTCACTGTCCCCCACACATATGCTGTCACTGTCCCCCCCACACGCTGTCACTGCCCCCCCACACGCTGTCACTGTCCCCCCCCACACGCTGTCACTGTCCCCCCGACACACGCTGTCACTGTCCCCCCGACACACGCTGTCACTGCCCCCACACACTCTGTCGGTCACTGTCCCCCCCACACGCTGTCACTGTCCCCCCGACACACGCTGTCACTGCCCCCCTGGAGGCAATGACCACCCACATGCTGCTTGTCTTCCTCTCCCTTCCCACTTCCCAAGTAAAAAGTGACCAGAAAGGGAGCTCCTACGTTACTGACACGGGATAATTAGTCTCCAATTGTTCCTTAAATTTCCTCTCTGGTTATTTTAAGTACATTTTCTGTCTCTCTGTTGCCCTCTTTTCTGAGGGAAAGGGAAAATAGATGCTGGGCTAGCTAACAGTTTATGTTTTACTACTTTTTTATTGACTTTAGAAAGAGAGGAAGGGAGAGAGAAGCACTGACTTGAGAAACACCAACAGTCCCTCCCATACACGCCCTGACCTTCCAGTGCACGGACGACATGCAGCCAGCTGAGCCGCACTGGCCAGGGCCATCTTATTACTTTTTAAATAGCTCTGCTTCTTTTCATTCTTCTTCGTCTACTGGCATAAACTGAAGCTGTGACTTTGCCTCCAAGCACTGTTCAGCTCAGAGGTCCCTCCTGTGCCGGCCTTCCTTGCATATCCCTGGCCTCCACCTTCTAGAAGCCAGCAGCCGCCTCCCCACTCAGGACACCTGGTGCCTTTGCCAAAGGTCCCCTCGTGGAAGGCAGACTGTCCCAGTCCAGAAACAACGCTTCAGCTGTATTCCGAGGCCTGATAGCTAGGGTTTCCTCATTTTTCTACACATTCTAAGATTTAGGTTTGCGTTTTTTATGTGATGCAGCTGGTTTTTTAAGATTGACTCTGACAAACCTTACAAATGTTGTGGAATCTTTCCCCATAGTTCTGAGTGGAACTGAGAAAACGTCAGGCCTGACTCTCGGGCAGAGCAAGCCCAGGTGTGGCCCTCTTGCTAAGGAGCTCCAGCTGTGGGAGAACAGCACCTGGCCTGTCCATCTGCCTGCCTGCCTGCCTTCTGAGGACACGGAGACCCTCCCCAGGGGGAGAAGTCCCTCTGTCATTGCTGCTAAATACCCTTGTTCGCACTGAGTTGATAAATACTCTCTTCTGCAGCAGGAGCAGTGTTTTGGGCTCTAACACGCTTCCTTGTATCTGCTGGGCTGAAAGCTGGGGGCGGGGGGGGGGGGGAGGTTAAAACTCACCGAGTTAGATGTCCTTCCTGGTTTTCATTTCCCACCTGCAGTGCCCAGAGGTTTCCCAATACAATAAATATCAAGGTTAATGAACAGGAAGGGACCAGTTTCTTCAAATAGTTTTAAAAATAGTAAAACTGGATCTCGTCAGGCATTGGTATTAAAATAAGATGACAAAAAAGGGCCTTCACTCTCAAGAAAAGTTTTTAAGGGGCTATAGGGTGATGTTGGTCCACACAACATTCCACGTGAGTGGGTTTCTGGAGAAGTTTGTGGCGAGCTCTCCACTGTCTAGACTCCAGTGGACTGAAAGGTCTGAGGGAAAGGTGTCGTTGCTTTCTAAGAAACGGTCTTAAATGAACAGGAAGTTCAGACCTGCATGCGTGGAGGAGATGCAAATTGCAAGACGCAAACATTCAAAAGGGGAGGAGAGATGTTCTCTAAAAGTTTTATAAGATGCCAACAAGACAGGTTTTTCATATTAATACTTACAGAAGGTTTTCATTTCCAAGAATGAGGAAAAGCTAAAACATCTTGAGCTTACTTTTGTTACATTCTCTTAATAATTTTTTTATTTCTAAAACTTTAAATAAATTGACTTTAGAAAAAAAGTGTGCCCTTTAAGACAGATGCAAAAGTGAGGTGACTTCGAGGTGGGCATGACTTGACAGCACTGAGTGGCGTTACCATTTTGTACCAGCAGAGGGAGCACTAAGTCCACTGCAATGACAGCTGTGGTTTGTGCAACAGTGAATGGGGTTGGGGTGCTCTTGAAGGGAAGCAACTGGCCCCCACAATATGCCTTTTGGAATATTGATTTCAAGCTGGTTATCAAGGAACAGAAGACTCTGGAGGAAACCCGTGAACTCCCCTAACTGCCTAAAAGGACTTTAGACAGAGGACCTGTTCCTGGAAGGAAGACCCCCTCCGCGTCCTGCAGGTCCCGGGAGCTCCTGTGATGCGCAGGAGGAGTGCCAGGCCCTCTGTTCACGGTGCCGTGTCCCGTGGTCCAAGAGGCAGCAAATAGTCTTTCCCCAAACACTGGCTTTTCCATCCCACGTGAGTGTCTCCCAGCCACACATGGATGCAACCCTCGACTGCCCAAGCTTCGTTGGGTCTCTATGCTCATGGCAGCCCCGAATGTGTTCATAAAATAAATGTAGGGCATTTTCTCCTGTTAATCTGTTTCTTTAATTTGATTATCAGCCCAGCTAGAAGAACTTAGAAGGTGAGAGGAAAAGTTCTTTCTTTAGCCCTCACACTCTCAAAAACTGTTATTATTACCATGTCCCGAACACTGACAGATGAATGGTAGGCGGGTAGGTAGGTAAACAGACAGACAGGTGAATAAGAGGTTTTGGTCAAATGCTTTAACAAATGTATGTATAATATCAACTTCACCAAAGATACTGGCAGGACTTGCTGGGGAGTTTCATTCATTTACAAAATGCCAATATGTCAAAATGACCACAACATAAAGGATATGCAATACGCAGTCCTATATAATAAAAGCCTAATATGCTTAGTGACCGGTCAGCCGTTTAACCAATCAAAGCATACTATGCTAATGATATCCTAAGGCTGCTCGACCGCTCGCTATGACGTGCACTGCCCACCAGGGGGCAGATGCTCTGACCGGTAGGTTAGCTTGCTGCTTGGGTCCGGCCAATCGGGACTGAGTGAGTCTGGCTGGACACGCCCTGGAGCCCTCCCACAGTCCCTCCCCCGCCGGCCAACATCCCGCGTCCCTCCCCAGCCCCAATGGTGAACCGGTGGGGTCCCTTGGCCTGGCCTGTGCCCTCTCACAATCCAGAACCCCTCGGGGGATGTCGGAGAGCCGGTTTCGTCCCGATCCCGCAGGCCAGGCCAAGGGACCCCACTGGTGCAAGACTTTGTGCACCGAGCCTCTAGTATACTTAATATTTGAATGCTAAACATAACCTTTTATTTTATATTGTTTTATATTCATTAAGTTAGATATTAAACCTAAATATCCAATCAAATATATTGTGATGGACATAAAACGAGGTTTGGACTCTTTTCACCTAGAGCAAAGCCCTGGTGCCCAGGATAGTTCGACAGACTCGACACACCCAGCGGAGTCCTGCGGCCTCCAGACAGCACATTCCATGCCACACTGTTCTCTTTGCTTTACTTCCCTCACATCATTATGCTCATCAGAATTTTTTAAAAATATATTTTTATTGCTTTCAGAGAGGAAGGAAGAGGGAGAGAGGGATAGAAACATCAATGATGAGAGAGAATCATGGATCGGCTGCCTCCTGCACGCCCCCTATTGGGGATGGAGCCCACAACCCAGGTATGTGTCCTGACCAGGAATCGAACCATGATCTCCTGATTCATACATTGACACTCAACCACTGAAGCATGCTGGCCGGGCTCATCAGGACTTTTTAAACCTGAATTTAAGGTATTCATAACGGGACTAACCCTACTCCTTGGCTCATGGCATAGTTATCACTGATCTGCGCAAGCATCCTCCTTTTTAGTTTCTGTAATCCAACCCAAGAACAAAATCCCTGACAATAATTTACACAAACCCACATCTTTGTCTCTCCTCTATCCCTGCCTCACTCATGCAAGGTAACCATTAGCCTACATTTTGTGTTTAACATTTCCTTGTTTTTTAAAATAATTTTTTAAGATTTTGTGTTTTTAACATTTCCTTATTTTTTTAAAAGAAATCAATATATATAAATGCATGAGCATAATATTTAGATTTAGATCTTGAATTTCATAAAAGAGTCACCTTAAATTTGCCATTTTAAAACACAACATTAAGATGTATTCATGCTGATGTGGATATCTGTAATTCATTGATTTTCACATAATATCCCATTATGAGTACATACCACATCTCCTGTCTAATGGGCATTTGAGTCTCTTTTAGGGTTGTGTTGTTGGTTTTTTTTTGCTTTTACTAAGGTGTTGTCATGACTATGTTTCTATAGGTGCACAGAATGATCACTTCGCTGCTCTCCCAGAGTAATTATATAAGTGAACTAGAGGCCTGGTGCATGGGATCCGTGCACTGGTGGGGCGTGGCCTGCAGGGATCAGCCTGCTGCAGGAGCAGCAGCTCATCCTGGTCAGCGGAGTGGCTGTGCACCGCCCTCTGAGCACCTGCTCCCTCTATGGGAGCACACTGACCCCCAAGAAAGCAGGGGTAAGCTTCTTGGTTTTGTTTGTTTGTTTGTTTTGGGGGTAAGCTTCTTGACGTTGGTCTTGGCAGAAAATAAGTGGGGCCACATCAAATTAAAAATCTCTGCACAGCCCAACAGAATGACAAGGCAGCCTACAAAACAAGGAAAGCCATTTCCAAATCCTGTATCTGATAAAGAATTAGTATCCAAAATATATGAAGAACTTATACAATTCAATATAAAACAGAGAAACAATTTGATTTTAAAATGGGCAGAGGACTTGAGTAGACATTCTCCCAAGAAGACATATACATGGTCAACAGGTACATGAGAAGATTCTCAACATCACTAGTCATCAGGGAAATACAAATCAAAACCACAAAATACCATCATAACCGCCAGAATGGCTATTATCAAAAAGATGAGAAATAAGTGTTGGCGAGGATGTGGAGAAAAGGAAGGAAACCCTCCCGCACTGTTGTAAATTGTTGCAGCCACTGTGGAAAGCAGTATGGAGGTTCCTCAAAAATTAAAAATAGAACTACCACATGCCCCAGCAATTCCTCGCCTGGGTATGTAGCCAAAGGAAACAAAAACCACAATCTCCAAGAGAAAAATGCACTCCTGTGTTCACTGCAGCATGACTCATAATCGACCAGGTATGGAATCCCCCGACGTGCCCTCACTGCACCCTGAATACAGAAACTATGGTACATACCTATAGCGGAACATTATTCAACCTTAAAAAAGAAGGAAATCCTGCCATTTGAGACAACATAGATGGATGGGCCTTGAGGGCATAGTGCTAACTGAAATAAGCCAGGGAGACAAATACATACTGTATGTTCCCATTGTTAACGTAAAAAACATTCAAACCTGTAAAGCATTTTTGTGAGTTTATTTGAGCCAAACTGTTGACAATTGCCAGGAAGCAGAATCTCAAGGGATTGGGATAGTGCTCCGGAGAATGTCGGCTTTTCACCTTGTTTTACACATTACAACCAAAGGAGGAAGGTAGGTGAGTTACATGAAATCCATTGGTGATAGATAAGGGAGGCGGGAGAAAGCAAAGGGGGGTGGCCTCTGGGATTGGGTAAAAAGTAAAATGATAAACACATAATTCTTTTACTTGGGTGGGTACAGGATAGTTAACAGTCAACAATTAACATGGTAACAATAACAATGAAGGGATTTGTGTCTCTGTCCTGGCACCCAGGGCATGTGATTGTACCCTGAGGGGTCCAGGAAAAAGGGAAGTTACAGTGACCCTGACATTTCAACGATGTTATCATAGATGCAAAAAGACAATAAGCTCAGTTAAGGTAAAGGTTGACCTTGTCAGGGAAGATACCAGCCTAGGAGGTGAGTACCCACCATAACTGCTTTTAGTTAGTTTTAATTTCAGACCATCCTTGTGGTGACTTTAGGTCTTAGAGTTTGCAAGACCACCATGCAGGCCTCCCCTGAGCGTGTCAGGTCAGCATGTGGCCCCTTCTGTCCACACACTTATATGTGGAATCCAGAGAACAGACTGGTGGTTGCCAGAGACAGGGTGGGGTGAGCGAAATGGGTGACAGTGGCCAAGCTTCTGTTAAAGATTAATTAGTCCTGGAATGTAAGGTACAGCAGGGTGGCTGCAATGAATAGCACCTATTGCGTATTTGGAAGTTGCTAAGAGTAGATCTTAGTTCTCATCACAAGAAAAAAAAATTGTAACTATGCATGGCGGTGTAAACTTACTGTGTTAATCATTTCACAATATGTACCAATATCAAATCATTATGTTGTATAACTAAAACTGATACGTTATACGGCGATTATATCTCAATTTAAAAAGTCTTTCCCTACTCTATGCTCAAAGAATTGGCGTCCTTCATTTTCTACTTGATCTTTCCGTCCATACTCTGTCTGGAGTAGGCATTTGTACCTGGTGTGGGTGTTATGGCCTGAACAGGGTCCCCTCCCAATTCACATGCAGCCCTAACCCCAGAACACGACTGTATTTGGACATAAGGCCTTTAAAGAGGTAACGAGGTGAAATGAGGTCACATGGGTGGGTCCTAATCCAATCTAACTACTGTTCTTATACCAGGAAAGGTGGGCACACACAGGGACACCAGTGATGCTCGGCCCAGAGCAACCGCCTGTGAGGAGGTAGCCCTCTGCAGCCGGGGAGGGGTCTCAGGGGAAACCAACTACCTGCACTTCGGTCTTGGCCTTCAGTTGCAGAACCGTGATGAAATCCATTTCTGTTGTTTAAGGACCCAGTCTGGGGCCCTTTGCAATGGAAGCCTAGAGAAGTAACACAGTGTAAGGCATAAATTTAATTTTGTAGATGAAAAAAAAGCCACATGCTAACCTGACTAACTCGGGGAAGACCTGTGTGAAGAGACCTAAAGTAACCACAAAAATGGTCTGAAATGAAAACATTTAATTAAACAGCAGTTTGTGGTGGGTAGTCATGTCCGAGGCCAGTATCTTCCCTGATAAAGATCAACTTCGATCTTTACTGAGCCTGTTGTCTTTTTGCATCTACGATAACACACCTGAGGAAGGTCAGGGTAACATGTAACTTCCCCTTATCCGGACCCCTCAGGGCACAACCAATGGGGCAGGGCACCAAGGGTGGAGAGCACAAAGTCCCCCATTGTTAGTTATCTTGTTAACTAGAGGCCCGGTGCACAAAATGTGTGCATGGGGGAGGGCCCTCAGCCCAGCCTGCACCTTCTCCAATCCGGGACCCCTCGGAGGATGTCCGACTGCTGGTTTAGGCCCGATCTCTGCTGCCTAATAGCTCGCCTGCCTATCTGCCTGATTGCCCCTAACCACTTCTGCCTGCCAGCTTGATCGCCCCTAACCACTCTGCCTATCTGCCTGATCGCCCCTAACCACTCTGCCTATCTGCCTGATCGTCCCTAACCACTCTGCCTATCTGCCTGATCGTCCCTAACCACTCTGCCTATGTGCCTGATCACCCCTAACCACTCTGCCTATGTGCCTGATCGCCCCTAACCACTCTGCCTATCTGCCTGATCACCCCTAGCCACTCTGCCTATCTGCCTGATCGCCCCTAACCACTCTGCCTATCTGCCTGATCACCCCTAACCACTCTGCCTATCTGCCTGATCGCCCCTAACCACTCTGCCTATCTGCTTGATCACCCCTAACCACCCTGCCTATCTGCCTGATCGCCCCTAACCGCCTCTGCCTGCCTGCATGATCTCATCACTAACTGCTCCCCAGCTGGCCTGATCTCGCCTAACTGCTTGCTCCCCTGCTGGCCTGATCACCCCTAACTGCCTCTGCCTGGGCCCCCACCACCGTGGCTTTGTCAGGAAGATGTCCGGTTGATCCGGTCTAATTAGCATATTACCCTTTTATTAGTACAGTTTGTTGACTGTTAACTATTCTGTACCCACTTGTGTAAAAGAATTATGTGTCTATCATTTTACTTTTTATCCAATCTCAGAGGTCCCCCCGCTTTGCTTTCTCCTGCCTCCCTAATCTCTCGCCGATGGATTTCATGTGACCCACTTAAGTCTCCTCCTTTGATTGTAATGTGTAAAGCAAGGTGAGAAACCACCATTCTCCGTACGTAGCATTATATCAAGACACTGAGATTCTGCTTCCTGGCAATTGTCCGCAGTTTGGCTCAAATAAACTCACAAAAACTCTTCACAGGTTTGAATGTTTTCTATGTTAACAGGTTTTTCAATATGGAAAAACCGTTTGTTTCCAGCGCCATTTACTGACCAGCCCCTCCATCCTGGGCACCGCCCTCATTCTCAGCGTCCCACACACATGTGGGTGTACTTCCCGCTCTCTGCTCTAGCCCGCCCGCACCTGCTCCTGTGAGAGGACCAAACTCTCCAACAGCTACAGCTTCATGACCCTCGTGAGGCTGGGAGAGACAGGCCTCTTTCGTTCTCCTTTCAGCGGCCTTGCTGGTTTTGATCACTTACTTTCACAGAAAGTTAAAAAATCAGCTTGTCAGGTTCCACGGAAAAATCTCACTGGGACTTTAACTGCACCTGCGTTACGTCCCCAGAACTAACGAGAGGTGGTTTGCAATTAAACGTCCGCCTCCACTGGAAAGTCCATTTTCTTTTGTGCTCTATGGACTGCAGTTCCGGTTCTGTCCACAGGATGGCACCACCAACCAAAAAATCAAATGTCACAGCCGACCCCGTAACACAAACACAGGGTTAATATTGTATTAAATGCCCAAGGGTTTTGGAGGGCAGACCTACATTTCATACGAAACGTTCAATAGCCTATCCAATTCTTGGTACATTTGGTAAAGATGTGGCAAGTAGTATGTGATAATCAAATAAATGAAAGAAGGAAAAATACGACAATCTCTTCTTCACAGTCCTTTTACCGTAGGAAACCATAACCAATTATAGGTTAAAAATTCATTACCAAACCAGAGGACAAAGGCACGGTGAAAAATCGGTCAGGAAAGGAAGGTTGCGTTTCTAAACCAGCGAGCCCAGTACAGGCAGCGAGCAAAGTCCCCAGGTTGAGGCCCTGGTTCTGCCCGGCCCGCCGCGCGCGCCCGGGGCTGGCGAAGGGCTTCCCTGGAGACGCCCGAGCGCGCCCGCCGCTCCCACCGCCCCATTCCTTCCGGCCTGGGAGCCCCTCCTGCTCCACGTCGGGGTGAACAGACAGAAGGGTTAGGAACGTGTCCACGGATCTGAGATGACAGATGGGCCGCGGGCGGCCTCGGCCTGGGCACCTCCCGGCCGGGAAGGAGCGGCCTCTGGCTGAGCGCGGACCCGGCGGGAGCGCCTGGCAGACACCTGTGCGCAGTGGCGCCTCCCTCCCCTGGACGCTCCGGACACGGAGAGCGACCTCACCGCCGGCCCCGCGCCCCGGCTGTGCAGCGGGAACAGCACGGCGCCCAGGTTCAGTCGGGCTCTAGCCCTGCCCGCCGCCCCGGGGCTCAGAGGGGCACCCGCCGCAGGAGCAGGGACCGCGGTGCCCTGGACACCCGGGAGCGGGAAGCGCGAGGAACCCGGGTGACGCCCCTCCACCGGCGCCGGGCGCACCCCCTCCGCCCCCCGGGAGCACGTGACGGCGACATCCCTGCGAACCCGCACCCCGCGCGGCACCTGCCCGCTCACCTGGCGGGCAGTCCACCTGCCACCGTCGCGCGCCCATTGCGCTTCAGCGACGTCCCGCCAGGGGGCGCCCTTGCCCCGCGCTCGGTTGCCTGCGAGGCGGAGGCCACGCGGGGCGTGCGGGGCGCTCACCCCGGACACTAGCGGTCGGGCTGCGGGGGGTCCGCGGGTGCGGGGCCGCGACGGAGGGCTTCGGGGCGGTGCCTCGACACCCGCGGCGGCGACAGCCCGGAGGGCGGGGCCGCGACCCCGAGGGTGCGGGGATCTTGGCCGCCCCTGCGCCCCGGCTGTGCTCCGCCCCGCGCGACTGGTGGGCGTGGCGACGTCGTGACGTCCCCGGCGTGGCCGCGGCCCCCGTATAAGAAGCCACGCGGCGCTCGCCCTCGCACCAGTGGCGGCGGCGACATGGAACTGCTCCGCACCATCGCGGTGCCGCCGGCGGGCGCCAAGGGCGGCGAGCAGCCGGGCCGGCCGGGCGGGGACCCGAAGCGCAGGCGTCCGTCCCCCGCCGAGGACCCGGAGCCGACGGCCGCCCCGCAGCCCCGCCACCACGCGGGCGCCGAGGTGTCCCGGGTCGTCGTGGACCCCACGACGGGGCGGCGCTACTGCCGCGGCCGGGTGCTGGGCAAGGTGAGGGCGCCGCCGGGGCTCTCGCGGGGAAGGAGCTCGGGGAGCAGCCTGCGCCCGCCCCCCCCCCCCCCCCCCCCCGCTTTTCTTGCTGATTTTTGCTGGATTCTAGATCGGCCCGCCGCCCACCGCTCCACCAGGCTCAGTTCCGTCTCGGCTTTGTTTCCTTGCAGGGCGGCTTCGCCAAATGTTACGAGATGACGGATTTGACCAGCAACAAAGTCTACGCGGCCAAGATCATCCCGCACAGCCGGGTGGCCAAGCCCCACCAGCGGGAGAAGGTGCGTGCGGTGGGGGCGCTCGCGGGGCCGCGGGTGGGAGCCGCCTGCCGCGGCGGCGGGGCTGAGCCTGTGCCTCCCGCAGATCGACAAGGAGATCGAGCTGCACCGGCTCCTGCACCACAAGCACGTCGTCCAGTTCCACCACCACTTCGAGGACCAGGAGAACATCTACATCCTGCTCGAGTACTGCAGCCGGCGGGTGCGTGCGGGGCGGTGCGCGCGCGCGCTCGCGGGGCAGGGAGCGGCGGGGCCGGGGGTGCGCGCGCCCTGGGCGCCGCGGGCGCTGGGGTCCGTGTGGGGGTGAGGGAACCCCACATCCCGAAGCTGATGGTCCCGCCTGACAGCGCCTCCCCTCCCCTCCCCTCCCCCCAGTCCATGGCTCACATCCTGAAAGCGAGGAAGGTGCTGACGGAGCCCGAAGTCCGATACTACCTCCGGCAGATCGTGTCGGGGCTGAAGTACCTTCACGAGCAGGAAATCCTGCACCGGGACCTCAAACTCGGTGAGTCCTCCCCTGGGACACGGACTTGCTGGTGGGGCCCCTCTTCTCTCTCGCTCCCTGACACATGCACGCCCCTCCCCCCCATCCAGCCTTCAGTTTTGTTGTGAATGGGGGGCGTGAATAGTCAGCGGCTGGCCGCTGGCCCCCAAAGCGTGTGTGTGCACTTGCTTCGTGGGCCTTCAAAGGACTCAGGCGCGTGCTGTTTGTCACCCAGGGAACTTTTTTATTAACGAGGCCATGGAGCTGAAAGTCGGGGACTTCGGTTTGGCAGCCAGGCTGGAGCCCTTGGAGCACCGAAGGAGGTGAGAGCCAGAAAGACCCCTCCCCTGGGGTCTGTGCAGATCAGACACCCCGTTATTTCCCAGTTGGGGGCAGAGAAGGTCAGTGGATGCTCAATGTAAAAACCACGACAGTGTGAACTTGGGCCCACGTGGGGCCAGGGCCAGCGCCTTATGTCTGCACGCTGATCATGAAATAAACCTGTCCTAAGTTTGCCTGCTGTGGGTAAAAAGGCCTGGTCCCAGTTGGTTAAAACACTTTGTCCGTGTGAGCGGAGGAAACTACATGCCTTAAACAAATACCAAGAATCACTTGGTCAGATGCCAGCTGTTCAAATGCCAAAACCAAAAGTCAAATGTTTCCAAACAGAAACTCCACACAGTGCTTTCAAGGTTTTATCGAGGGAGCCAAATTCAAACAATGGCACAGTCCCTAATGAGCTCTTCCTATTTTGTCTTTGCAGAACAATATGTGGTACCCCAAACTATCTCTCCCCCGAAGTCCTCAACAAGCAAGGGCACGGCTGTGAGTCGGACATCTGGGCGTTGGGCTGTGTAATGTAAGTAGCTGCACCTCGATGACCAAAAGCAGGTGTGGGTTTAGGTTTTGGTATTTGAGAAGCGTTGCTGTGTGACCTTCCTGAGGACGAGCTTCCTTTCCCCAGGTACACGATGCTGCTCGGAAGACCCCCGTTTGAAACCACGAACCTGAAGGAAACGTACAGGTGCATCCGAGAAGCCAGGTACACCATGCCGTCCTCCTTGCTGGCCCCTGCTAAGCACTTGATAGCGAGCATGTTGTCCAAAAACCCCGAGGACCGGCCCCGTCTGGATGACATCGTTCGCCATGAGTTCTTTGTGCAGGTGGGTGTGCGTCCTGGGTCTCTGGGTGACGTGCTGCGGATGCCCGTGCCAGCAGGTCACTGACAGCCTTTCTCGCGCCCCACAGGGCTTCACTCCCGACAGGCTCTCCTCCAGCTGCTGCCACACGGTCCCCGATTTCCACCTGTCCAGCCCCGCAAAGAATTTCTTTAGGAAAGCCGCTGCTGCTCTTTTTGGTGGCAAAAAAGACAAAGCAAGATACATTGACACACACAGTAAGTTTGAAGACCTCTCACTGTTCTGAATCAATTGTTATGTTTAAGTTGGATCCGTTAGTTCAGAGAGGCTTTGGCAGTGGCGTAGCGTAGCCAGTGTGTTTGTACACTCTTGCACTTTGTCTGGCACAATAAATCCGCACTGCACAATGGGGCTGGTGGCTTTCTGTGGATAGGCAGTGAAGCGTGCTTCTTGCATAATTGAAGCTAATGGCCGCGATGAAAATGCTGTTTTTGCCCTGGATGCTCAGAGCTCGTTATTAATGCAAAGTGAGGAACTACGCTAGCTCTGTTCCTACCTGGTGAGGATAGAGTAACGCTCAAAATCCTTGTCCTTGATTTGCAGATAGAGCATCTAAAGAAGATGAAGACATTTACAAGCTCAGGAACGATTTGAAAAAGACTTCAATAACGCAGCAACCCAGCAAACACAGGACAGACGAGGTATGCTGGCAGAGACCAAAGTAGATACTGATGCTTTATATCATTTCACTCTGTTAACTGTCGCTTGCTCTGGGATTGTCATAGTTCGGGCATGTCAGTGTTTGTTTATTTTCTTCCATCCCTTTACCCTTTGAGAGGAAAGATTTCTGTCTTTCAGTTGAACAATGCATGCAATGGAGCTGTTGCAGTAGCTCTTGCCTGGCCGTGTCCACTGTTCTTACCTCCATGTCCACTGCTCTTGCCTGGCCATGTCCACTGCTCTTACCTCCATGTCCACTGCTCTTGCCTGGCCGTGTCCACTGCTCTTACCTCCATGTCCACTGCTCTTACCTCCATGTCCACTGCTCTTGCCTGCTGTGTCCACTACTTTGAGAAGCTTTCCCAGCAGTGGCCACGATCCCCTCTGAACCTGGACTTCTCAGGCCTAAGTGACTTTCAGGTGCTGGATTCATTGTGTGGTTCTCTTCCCAGGAGCTCCAGCCACCTCCCGCCACAGTGGCCGGGTCGGGAACGGCTGTGGTGGAAAACAGGCAGCAGGTGGGGGACGTGATTCGGATGATCGTCCGAGGGACCCTTGGCAGCTGCAGCAGCAGCAGTGAGTGTGAGTGATGCCAACAACGCTTCCAGCAGTGAAACGTCGGTGCCCGGGCTCAGCACTGGGTAACAGGCCCTTCCCCTGCACTAACTAACGTGCCATCAGAGGAGCAGGCAGAGGGCCTGGGAGCAGTCTGGGAGGAGTTTTGAGTCCCTGTGCTTAGGAGAACCAGTGGAGGGAAACATGGCATCTGCCGAGGCCAAGCGGCTTTGTTAATTATTCCATCACTTTCTCGACTTCTCAGGCCTGGAGGACAGCACCATGGGGAGTGTGGCGGACACGGTGGCCAGAGTCCTCCGCGGGTGCCTGGAGAACATGCCGGCGGCCGACTGCATTCCCAGGGAGCAGCTGAGCACCTCCTTCCAGTGGGTCACCAAGTGGGTCGACTACTCCAACAAGTACGGCTTCGGGTACCAGCTCTCCGACCACACGGTGGGCGTCCTCTTCAACAACGGCGCCCACATGAGCCTCCTTCCAGACAAGAGGTGAGTGACACGCGCCGTCCTGCGCACCCGGTCTTGCGCTGAGACGTGGAAACAGCGACTGACGCGTCTGTCCTCCCCGCCACAGGACCGTCCACTACTACGCGGAGCTCGGCCAGTGCTCTGTCTTCACAGCGACAGCCGCCCCCGAGCAGTTCATCAGCCAAGTGACGGTGCTGAAGTACTTCTCCCACTACATGGAGGAGAACCTGATGGACGTAGGTGCTGGGCTCAGAGCAGATGCTGGGAGGGGGCTCTGTCCGGGGCGGCTGCGTGGCCTCGGGGCTGCGGGGGGCAGCTGGGGGCAGCTGGAGGGAGGGGGCGGGGATCCCCGGGCCACCGGACATCTGCTTCCTTTGGAGAGGCACTTGCCTCGAGAGGAATGGAGTGCTCGCTGCAGTCTCTCCAGTCCCCTCTCTGCCAATCTCTTCAGGGTGGAGACCTGCCCAGCGTCACTGACACCCGGCGGCCTCGGCTCTACCTCCTTCAGTGGCTCAAGTCCGACAAGGCCTTAATGATGCTCTTCAACGACGGCACCTTCCAGGTGAGCAGCCCTAGGGAAGGGCAGGGGGAGGTCCTGAAGAGTTACTTGCACTTGCCGTCTAGTCCGTGACCCGACGTTCCCCATTCATATTCAGAGGCCTAATCATGTCTTCGTTTGCTCTCCAAGGTGAATTTCTACCACGACCACACGAAGGTCATCCTCTGCAGCCAGGACGAGGAGTACCTGCTCACCTACATCAATGAGGACCGGCTGTCCACCACCTTCCGGCTGACCACGCTGCTGGTGTCGGGCTGCGCACCGGAGCTGAAGCAGCGGCTGGAGTACGCGCTGAACATGCTCCTGCAGAGATGCAACTAGCGGCGGGGCCGGGGCCGCAGCTCCTCCCACGGAGCCACGCGGCCAGGGAAGGTTCCGCACGCTGGGAGGCAGGCAGCGGGGGTGCGAAGGCCGTCCTCTGGCTGCGGGACTGTCTGAGGATGCCGCTCTTGACCTGGACAGTCCGAGTGGGAGCCCGAAGGCAGGGACCTGTTTTA